AAAGGTAAGAAGAAGCGACAACAAAAAGACCAAACTGATAAAGTAACTACCAGATACGGAGCCACATCCTTTTTCATGCTATCGTCAAGAGGTATGTCAACATAATCATCAGCCAAAGAACAAAAAAATAATAATGAATGCAAGTGGAGGGAGAACATTCCTATTTAATGATGATATGTACATTGAGTGATTAGTTATCCAAAATGGCTACGCTATTTTTGATGAAAGGTCAGTGCTATTTCAGGGGTTTCAATTATGACAATGACCGTTAAATATAGGATAAGTTGTGGATAACGCAACCGCAGTCTCTAGAGGGGTTAACAAACATGCAAACAAAATGAGAAGAATTCATCGTGCAAAGATCTAGAAACTTGACAGTGCATATTTCTTCCAAACAACCAGAAGCAAAGCGCAATGCTGGGCCTGTGGGGACAGGAAAAGAAACAGCTCCAAAGAAAGAAATTGGGATTCCCGGTGCTTATCCACGATCCATGGATCATGATTAAAAACAAGAATAATCTACATTTCTCATGGCACACGATCCATGGATAGTTTAATTTGATGCATTTGATTAAGACATTGCACAATTGTCCAAACACTTTGTCGCATCTCTTCAATACGAATACAATAACGATCATAGGAATCTCTTCTGTGTGTCAGGATCCAATGAAAATTCCACATATAGAATAATCCACTTGAAGAGCAATGAAAATGAGAAACACTTCTACAACCATCTTTGATCTCCACTCTAGAAACATTGGAAGACTCTTATAAAATATGTAAGTACATCTGATCAAGCCCAGTGTTTGTAATTCTTAACAAATAAGAATCATAAAAACAACTGCTATCATGCTCAATCCAACAGTTTAAAAACTCAGTAGTTCCTAAATATATCAGAAAAATTACAACTTAAAACACATCCATTTCGACATCAACTAGCGAAGGAAAGAGATTATTCATATTCCTATCCATATCCAATAATTTTAGAAGACATTTCCATTCGATCATTACAAAGTAAAATCAATAGCTAATAAGCCAGCATCAAAAAGATGACTGTAACAACTCGACTCAGAAGCACCAGCAAAAGTAAGGACCTTTACAAGTACTACAAACCTGATCGGCGGGCCAATTATAAACCATTGACATCATTTCTCCACGATCTTCCACACTAAAATACATCCCCCTTGGCCGCCTAAACAAGCCACTATAGTTTTGGCAAACAAGACCAACTGTAGGGGTATAGACTACAGGGGCATATTCCTCGATATTGTCAATTAGAACCTGTTAACATCAAATTTATTAAAGAAGTAATGATTCAGTACATAATCAACTACAGTGCCATACATTCATTAGTTAATCATATTTGCTCTGAAAAGTCGTGCAAGGTTCTCCAACAATCCAATTCCAACAAAGTAATTAGCGGTTGTTTTGGGTTTGGAATCTCATCCATGCGCCGTTAACCACCTGATGGCCCACAGAGGTGGCGAACAGCGAAAGACTTAAACACTTTCTACAAAACAATCTGTGTTGACTGGTCCATCCATTTCTTTCTACGAAGAAGCCCAAAGATTGGCATATACTCATTTTCCAGAATAAGATTTGGTTGAGGTTATATGAATGGACGTGGTGGAAATGTAACTTGGAAATCTTGGATTTGGGGATCAAAACACAGAAGATGTTACTATTTCTGACTTAGGTTTTGCTTATGATTTGGTGTTAGCATACATGCTTCAAAAAGGAATAAAAGCGCCTTATAACTTTTATAAATCATGACAGCTTGATACTCAAGTGTAGGTGGCACCAACTGAGCATCAATTAAGAGAAGTTGTTGGGAAATGTTCAGTGTAGACCTAAAGAGAAATCTCTCATAAAGGTTATGTGATGTCAAGAGAACATGTTAGAAGGAGGTGTATATCAAAACTAACATGACATGTTGAGATTGCCTTGCACCTTCTAGAGATTTAACAATGAGCAGAACAGAATGGTGAAACATATTCATAAATTTATTGGGAACTAGAATAGCTTTGTTGGATTTTTGTTGTTCTATATTCCGGCTGTTTTAAAGAGAATGATCGAGAGGGGAAAAAAATCAGAAGGCACAAAAAAAGGAGAAAGTTAATCACTGACCTTATAATACATAGTCTCATTTCTATCATGCAACCGGTTGAGAATGCGCCACTTAGCCAAATTATTTGGGTCAGAAGGCCCATCTCTAGCACTTAGTTGAAGCCTCTTCAAGTCAGCCACTATTGTTAAAGAAAGACCAATAAGAATGATGTTATTATAAGTGATTGCAACTTAGCTGTATGATTCACAATCTTTGTTTCTCAAGCTCCAATGAGTAAAATATACAGCTTTTGAGATTTATTTTCTTCCATCTCAAATTAAGTGATTGTTGTTATATCAATTATATCATATTTGAGAAAAGACATAATTGGAATAAAATATTCATCAAGTATTATTTTAATTTGGATTGTGCTACATGTACACAATAATTTATATAATGGTTTACAAATAAATGATGTGGTGGAATTAATTGGATCAAAATCTCATGAATTAAATAACTTTCCCACTTACATTTTGACACATCATCATTATGTAAATTGTTATGTACGAGAAGCATTTTCCTTTTAATTTTTTGCCTAAAAATGTAAATAGATCAGTGTAAAATATGTTGTTAAAAGCCATCTAGTTGATCACAAAAGTCAAACCAAGTCATTCGAGCTGAGAAGGAATGAATATCAAATAAGGCAGTAAGGATGGAAAAAGGAACTCCTTATCATCTAGAATAGTTTATTGAAAAGAAAAAAAATCTCATATTTCCTACTTAGAAGTTATCCAACAATTCACTAAACATTTATTATTGCACAAAGATTATAGATACCTCGCTAGAATGTTAATTAATATTCATTAACGACCATATATAGGTAAATTGCAATCAATATAAACCCCAGAATTATCTATTCTCGACTGCTATACTACAATTTCATGTCATTTAAGCTAAAACGACAGAATCATAAAGACTGGTGCTTGAGCACTTACTGAAGCGTTCAATTTGCTGTTCAGAACTCATAACATTTGGAGGCAGTAACCCACGAAGGTCCAGACGATCACGTTCCGTCATGGAAAATGCGGTTCCCTATTTATGAAACATAACATATTGAAAATTAACTTGCGAAGCTCAACAATCACCAATTCTTGTTAAACTAAAAATTCTTAGCTATAAAAATATCCAGTTCTTAGGATCGCGGAAAATTCATATTCAACCGAAAGTCAAGCAAAACTCATTTACCTTGTTGAACCATGGATCGTGGAGAATGTCGAGACTCCGTTTGTGGACAATTGTCGGACGGTGGCCTTCCGTCGTGGTAAAAGATCTCGTACCATAGACATTTACTGCGGCAATAATTCTCCGCGGTAATTGCAAACGTTTCAGTAAAATTGATGATAGACTCATCTTCCTGAGAGAGAAAAAAAGGCCAATGTAATGATTGAACCCTCAACCCCACACTGTATTTGAGCTGCCAGTGGCAGAGCTTAAATAGACAAAAACAGAGTTAGGGAGACGGTACGTTTGAACACTGAAACGAAGGGGAAGTTAACAGTTTAAGTAGTTGTATTTTGCGCTTCTGAAGTTGTACATTTTCATAGGGATTGTTTTACGCGGAAATGAATTGCGGATATTTTTTGGGGAAGCAGTCAGTCAACGGTTTAGAGACGAGGGGACCGCTTTAAGTAATTTTCGGGTCATATAAATTCATTCCATGATCTAATAAATAATAATAATCTACAACATATATTTCATATCTTCTAATTAAAATGCAATATTCTTCAAATGTTAAAGTTATATTTTCTAATTGAGAGATATTATTCTTTATTCTTTCTAATAGATTATCTAATCCTTCAATCGTATATCATGACATTTATTCACAACCATCAATTAATCCCTTCGATTCTTTAAAATCTTAAAAAGATTCATTCTAATTTTAGCAAAAATTTAATAGTTTTACCTTGGGTTTGGTCTGGATTTGTATTCTTAGAATCGAGTGACTTTCGAGCTCTGAATCAGTAAACTGCTTCCTTTAACAGCCTCCTGCCTTCATGGAATTGTTACTAATTCAGTTACTTGATCTCGTTGTATCAACTTCTAAAGAATAAAATCCTAAACTTCTGTAAAAAAAAATTTTTTTTTTTTTGCTAAAATAAAAAGGAAACTTTTTATCAGATCTTTCAAGAATCAATGGGAATAAATATTTAGAAACTCATATTCATATCAAAATATTAGAGTTTTATTTCTATCAGAATTTATACAAAACTTCTATTTGATACAAATGGATTTCCAGAAAAACTGATTTTTTAAACTGAAAATAATCTTTGAGTAACTATTGCTTACAACTCAAGATTTCAAGATAAGATTATCTTTTTGTATGGCAATGTTTCTATTTATACAAGTTTATGAGACTCTATTATATCATTGAGTACATCAGCAAGGCACACTTACATTTCTATTATTTTCCTCATTAGGCCTAAATCTTCACATGTTATTTCAACTTTTTATCCAAAGAGCATCTTTTTCTATTATTGCTATTTATCTTCAATGTCCTCATATGCAGCTGTATTATTGTTTTCCATACACCTTTGTCAAATGTGCTCTATTATTGTCTTCTTCCTTCAATTCTTCACATGTAGTTGTGGCACTCCTTTAATTGGCAGGATTCTTTTATAGTAGTAGGACATCTTGGAAATTGATGTATATCAAATCTTGTAATATAGTCTTTTAAAATTTCTGATTTTCCATATCCTCCATTGGATACCAACATCCAATTTTCATATTGGCACAAGTATGAGAATTTTTTATCAAACAAATTTTTTATAATGTTGTAAATGTCTTTAATTTCAAGTGCTCTTCTATGTCTGATCCAAAATTTTGTTACCATCGAAACTTTTATATTATTTTTTATAACATCAATTTGGAAATTGGCCGCAATATATCCAATTGAGATTATGTATTCAATTGGATAATAAACAATTCAATCATATTCTGGACTTATTGAATAGAATTTCAAATATATTTTCCTTTCCTCAGCAAACCTGAAAACTTCTTTAATGAATATGTCATCAAATTTCGAAAATTCAATAAAATATTTTCCTGGATATATCAAATCCATGAATCTATAGTCTGCCATAATTTCTATAAATGAAGGGTATCCTCCTTCCATGGCTGTTATTCTGGAATAAACATTACTTCCTAGAAAAATGAAATATGAATCACTCATTTTTATTTCATAAGCGCTTTTGACTATTTCGGCATATTTTTCTTCTTTTGGGTCTAAAGGGATTTTATCTTCTTGATCCATGATGCTGATTGTTTTGGTATCTCTTTTATCTTCATGTATTATAATTTTCTTGGTTGATGATACAGAAATGGAATCTCATTTATTATCAGTTGGTATGTTGTCACGTCTGGGTCTACTGCTGCTTCCAGTCGTCCCTATTTGGTATTGATTTGAAAAACTCATTTCTGAGCTCTTTGGTATATCCGTCTCAAACGGTATATTTTTTAGTTATGCTGCAATGGCATCAACTTGATCTTTGAATTCTATGGCATATTTATGATGCTCAGTAGTGATATCCAACAGTATTTTTATATTTAAGTTGAATATCTCTGAGATCTGGATTGCTCCAGAGTTTATATCTTTGGATTCTTCTTTAAGAAAATCTATCATTTTTTGTATATGTAGGATAGATTAGTATAATTCCATGACCTTAATTTTATTCATCAACAAATTCTATGTTTCTGCTGAGAAAATCTGCAAGAAAATTATTAACTCCTTAAAAATGGACTATATCAAAATTATAAAATGTTAAATAAGCTTGCCATCTATGAAGCTTTCTATATTGAGATTTTGATGGTAATTTATTCTTAACTTCTTGCAACCTGAGAATTATCAGTTTCAACAATAAATTTTTTGGACAATAAAAATAATGAGAACTTTTCTATTGCTCTAATAATTGCTAGTAATTATTTTTCATGAGTAGTATAATTTATTTTTGCTTGGTTAAAGGTTCCACTTCTACAAATTTCATTTAGATCTGTTTTTAATATTGCTGCCTAATATTTATCTGAGGCATTAGTATTAATAATCAAATTATCTTTTTCATCTGATAATCTTAATTTTGGTAAATTTTTGTATTCTTCTTTTAATGATTTAATTTTTTCTGTATGTTCTTCATTTCATCGTTTAGTATTTGTTTTTCTAAATAAAATTTGGATTTATGTATTTTCTTAGAGAGATTTTCAATAAATCCTTCTACATAGTTTAAACATCCTAAAAAAATTTTAATTTGTTCTTTGGATTCTAATTTATTTGGAAAACTTTCTATCTTTTTTGATATATAAGTCTGTAATTTTATCCCTCTTTTATCTATTGATAATCCAAGAAAGTCTATCTCTTGTTTTTCTATTATAGATTTCTTTTTAATAGTACAATTCCTTCTTTTTTACATTCTTTAATAAATTTGAAATTTTTTAAATATATTATCCATCCTTCTTTGATATATTTGTGGTGCATTTTTTAGGTCAAATGGCATAACTAACCATTCATATTTTTCTTGAGGTATGCTAAATGCGATATATTATATACTATCTTCTTCCATTTTTATTTACCAAAATTCTGATTTACAATCAAATTTAGAATAATATTGTTTTCTTCTTGCAAGATTTACTAACACTTCTTTATTTAGTAGAAAGTAAACATCAAATTTAGTATATATGTTTAATTCTTTATAATTTATGACCATCCTAATTTTTCCTCGAACTTGTTCAGAATATTTCATAACCATAAAAGCTGGACTATTATGAGATCCATTACTAGGTCTAATAAGTTTTTATTCTAACAATTATTTTATTTGATTTTTAAATTATTGTGTATCTTCTATAGTATACATCATTGATTTAACTCTTATTATAAAATTTTCTGTTAATTTTATTTTGACTTTTGGGTGATGTGATTTCCAAAATAATAATGAATTTTCTCCATAAACTTTTTCTAATTGTTTAATAATTTTTTTTATATTCATTTCTATTCCTGTTTTTAGAACATTTTTATATCATATTTTTTTATTTGTTATTTTATTAAATATAATTGATTTTTTCTCCCATTTATCACCACGTTGGGCTGACTGAACTCTACAGTTAAACCTCGATAAAGTAATGTTCGATAAAGTAATAACATCGATTATATAATAATTTCTTTCGATTCCGACTTGGGCCAATGGATTAAAATAATAATCTCGCTAAATGCATTAAGTAATAAAAAAATTGAATCCTTAAGGGCCCAATAAAATATAAAGTAATAATTACTGAATTTCATTGAGAAAAAAAAATATATATATATAGACCAAAATCTTTCAATCAATCAACAATACCCGTACAATAATCATTCCTTTTGAAAATATGCATCTATAGTTGATTGTTTTTTCTTCCCACCTAAATCAAAATGAACCACATCCTTAACTTTTTGTAGAGCATACACAACTTCCGGAATATTTTGCTCGTGTTGTAGCAAGTAGTTGCTTAAGGTGACTACTGCTTGAAATGCCTCTTTTGACGACACATTTGGGACAACGCTACTATCATCTGGTTCAGGATTATTCTCATCATCATTACTGTTCATTACCGATTGAATAATTTCTTCGTCTGTAGGTGATCCATAACTGCATCATTCTCGCTATAATAGTTCAAAAGATGTTCAACATCCATCACATTTCTATAGTGTAAATTAGAGATGACATCATTTAATTATTGGATACTTTCTTCTAATTCGCCAACTTCTGGTTCGGGAATATTGTTTTCTTCTGACCGAATCTTGCAATGTCGAAAACAATTTGCAATTGTTGTTGTCTTCACATCAAAATTCCAAGTCGTGTTAGCAAAATTAATAGCATTCAAAATATTAATTTTTTCAGGATTTGGTGCTTCAACCTTAAGGCCTTGTAAGATGCTAGAATAAAAATGACGACGATAATGATCTTTAAATACTCGAATAATCCCAGCATCACATGGTTGAATCTTAGACGTTGTGTTAGGAGGTAAGAAAAATAACTCTACATTTCTTAAGCCTTCAACTACCTTTGGATGGGTTGGGCAATCGTCTACTATGAAGAGAACCTTCATGCCTTTCATTCTCTTATCAAACCAACCAACAAAATCTTGAAAAAGCAAGTCAGTCATCCAAGCTTTCTTGTTGGATCGATACTTGCAATTAAGATTGTTCATGTTCACATTTTTAAACCATCTAGGATTTGCATACTTACCAATAACCCAAAGTGATACTTTGTCAAATCCATCACCATTGCAACAAAAAACAACATTAATTCTCTCCTTATCTTTTTTGCGTCCTTTGAGCTGCTTGGTAGCAAGTGAATGATCAGTTTTCAATCGGCAAAATAATCCAGTTTCTTCCATATTGTAACTATCCTTCAATTGAAACTGGTCTAGTTTTGATCGTATTCCAGGTAAAGCATTTTCAATGTTCTCCATGATAACTGAACCACTTTCACCAAAACATTGGTAAAATTTGATTCCATATCTTGCCTTGAAACGTTCTAACCATCCACTAGAAAAGCTGAATTCTGGATTAGTTTCACCATACATTCTTTGCAAAAACTCTTTTGCTTTTCCTTGGATAATTTCTGCAGACATGTTCACTTTATCTTACCTTTGAAGAAACCACTCATACAAAACTTTTTCTAAATTAGGGTATTTTCCCGATTTGTGCCTTTTAACATCGCTATTTTTCATCTCATTTGACAAATATTCCGACGCCCTTTTGAGAGTGTGTCGATATTGTTGATTGACTAATAGTCAAATCAAACTTTTGTTGCACCCATGCTTGCATATCTTTTTAGCTAATAGTTGGATTCTCTTTCTTATGCTCACATATTGCACTCCACATTTTATCGGTTAAAATTGATTTTTTTTACTCTTTTCAAATGATGAGAAGATATTGGAGGGGAAACAAAATATTGTATGTGTTTAGAATATGTCTTCCAAACATCTAACTTTTTTAGGTAAAGACTAAATCTTTTCATTTGCTATGTACGTGAATTTAGTTTTTAGAGACATTAAGTTTCACTAAAACTTTTGAGCTTCCCTAGATTCAAATAATACTTTGATTAGTGTCTTTTGATTTTTCTTACCACGTACAATGTACATATTTTATATTGAAAAGCTCTCTCTAACATAATAAATATTTATTTATCGATAAATGAATAATTTATTCGTTTATTGATAAATAAATAATCTCGCTAGATGAATATTTTTTTCCGGTCCCGAGGGTATTACTTTATCAAGGTTTAACTGTATAAGGCTTAAATTTTCTATAAATTTTTAATAAGTGTCCACAAGGTGTTTGTAGCATTATCATATAATTATTTTGTTTATAATATTGAAATTGTTATATGAAATCATTTCCTAATAATATATCACATTTTAATTTATCATATTTATAAATTTTATTTATTGTTACTTATTTACTTCCAAAAATTATATTAACTTTATCAGCACTATTAATTATTTGAATACTTTCTACTGTAACTCCAGTTATTTTTATATTACCATTATTATTCCATAATTTTATTTAAAAACTTTTAAATATTGTTATATCACTTCCTGTATCTATTAAAGCACAAGTTGTATATTTGTTTCTACAATAGTAATTTGTATATACACAGCTAATGGAAAACTTATCTGATTATTCATCTAATTCTTTTTACATAATGTAGTTTGTCCATTATGAACAATATATAGTCATTCTCTTTTTATAATATAATCTTCTAATCCATTTAGAAAACTCATTCCTAAAAGTATATTAGAATTTATATTCATACTCTTATCTATGTAATATGGTACTAAAAGATCTATTCCTCCTATTTTTATTGGTACATTAACTTCTAAATCTATAATATGTATTGGTACATCAAAATTTATATACTTATATGGCTTAGTTTTATGAGTCACTAGACTTTTATTTCTAATCGAAATTATATGACATTCACTAACTCCTGTATCAATTAATATATTTGGTTTATTTATACTTTTTCTTCCATTATAATATTTTTCTTCTATTTTCATATTTCCAACATTCTTATATAGTTTTAGTTCTTTTATTTTGTTGATTTTTTCTAGCTGGTTTTTATTAGGTATTTTAAAACTTTTTGATCTTTTAATTAATTTTTCATCCTTAAATATAATATTATTAGAACATTCTCCTTCATTTAATTCTGTTATTTCAGATTTATTTTTTATTATACTAAATTCATATTTTTCTGAAATTAAACTTATTTGTTTATTTGATTCTATTATTTTACTAATATATTTACATTCTTTATGAACTTCAATATATGGTTTATTGGAATAAATATTCTCATAATTAGAATTAGTAAGTGTCTATAAAGCTCTATATTCTATAGTCATAATTTGATCACCTGGTTGCATGATATTATCTTTATGAAGTTTAAAATATAGTCCTAAAATTTCATTAAAATTTTTATCTTTTAATGATACACAATATTTTAGATAACTTGTAAATATAATTTTTTGATATGCTAAATTTCCTTATATTGTTCCTAAATGACTATCTTTTAAATTTATTATTCTTCCATCATGTAAAGTTATAGTTAAGGATGAATCTATCCCTTCTCTAAATAGTGATTTAAACATTATTTGTATTCCTGTTGAATAAACATATTGAATTTTTTCACTTTGTTTTTTACTAATCTTTGTTAATAGTTCTTCAACTGTATTTTTTTGTTAAAAGATTTAATTTATGTTGCCCATAAGTTGTTCCCATATCTATGATTTTTTCTATTTTGTGATATTCATTTATTGTTATTCTTTCTCTTTTCCAAATTCCATCAAAGACTTCCCACTTTCCTATTTTTAAATCTAACGATAATTTTTACAATTTTCTAAACTTCTTGTTATCAAAAGTGACTTTTAATTCATATCCTTCTATTCCTTCATATTCTTATATATTTATGTTATTACTTTCTATTTCTTCAATTTCTCTATTCAGATCCTAATTTATCTTCTATTTCACTTATATATACTTCTTGATTATAGTATTCTTCAATATTTGATATTTCACTTAATTCATCTTTTTTTTTTCTAAATGTTCTTTTTGTAATATTCTAACTTTCTTTTTTATCACAATCAGAGCTTATATAACCTATTTCTTCACAGTTTCAGCATTTACATTGGCTTTTATTTTATTTTTTTTTGTTATTCGGTTGATTATATGTGTTATTTTCCTTTTATAATATCTTATTATAGGTTTTATATATATTTTTATTAAAATTCTCAAAATTTTTAAACTTTTTATTTTTATATTTTATTTTATTAATTTTTCTTTCAGGATTACATCCCCATTGCACAGAAGTTTCCACATCTTCACAACATATTTTAGTTAATTTTTTTGATTTTTTCATTAATTGTCTTTGTTGACATATATATGCAAGTTTTTCAAATAAAATTTTTATTCTTGAACCTAAAGTCCTAGGTATTTCATTATTATATCTAACATATTTTTCAAATTCTATTTTAAAATATATTCCTCATGAATCTGGTAACTTATTATAGTACATGTCTTGGTATACTTCTTGATTTTTATTATTATAAAATTGAATATAATAGTAATTTTTAAATTCACACGTATATTATTTAATTTTACACATATCACATATTGTTAAATTTATTAATTTTATTCTAACATTATCTTTTTCTCTTATTGATTCTTTTTTAGCATTTCTTATCTAATTTTCTCCTAAAAATTCATCTGAAATTATTCTATTAATTTTTCTATACCATGTCTGTCTGATTTGATTATTTCTATTTGTACATTTCTTTTTATTAATGTTTTTGTATCATTGCTAATTCCTTCCCACCAATTTCTAATATCTCTTTCAAAAGATGCTATTAAGATATTTATTTTTCTTTTAGTATTTTCTCATGTGTCATCTGTATTATATAAAAAGAATAATATCATTGAATTTACCCAAGTTAATAAGGATTTTTTAGTATCTATTTTACAATTTAAATCTAGTTTTGTTCCTCCGTGATTAATTGGTTTATCATAATTATCATTTAATTCAAACATATCTTTATATTTATTTCCTTTATATGGTTGTTTATCTCTTACTTCATCATAAAACTGTCTATATGATTTATTATATATAGGTGCATAACTTTCATATGTATCATGTAATTCCTATTTAGAGGTTCCTGTTAGATTAGGTCCTCCTTTAGTATTAATTAAAACTTGGTATTCACTTATATCAATTAAGCTTAATTGATCAAAATTTTCTATTAGCAAATTCAATTCTTTACTTATCTTCTTTTTCTTCCACTTTTAATGTTCCTAACGATTTTTCTCTAGATTTTTCTTCCTCTTCTAATATTTTTGGTAATATATTCTTTCTAAATTCATTATCCATGCGTCCTGTCTTTATTATTATATTCTATTTTTCTATATGCTTCTTTCCTATTCGAGTCATTTCTTTTTCTATAAGTTTTTTTTTATCTATTTTTTTATCTTTATTTTTATTATTTTCTTTTAATTCTCTAATTTCAATTTTTAATATATATATATATATATATATATATATATATATATATATATATATATTT